AAACTTCAATTCTTCAACGCCGAAGACACTATACTACTATATCAGAATAGGTCAGTGCTAATATTGCGAAGTTGTTCTTACCTCATATTCATTAATATTTGGATTCCATTTGGTAAAAGGTGATTATGATAAATGAAATGACATGGATAGAGATTACGTTTATGAGTTTATGGGTAACTGTGCTGTATTATTATCAGTTGTTAATTCGCTGATGTTCGTAGAAAATCTTTTGACTAGGTAACTAAAAAATATACATGGTCGCTCACTAGACGAACAACGCAAGTACAGCAGTGTACAAAATTCCACTTCGTGCAAAGAATGGTATCGATTGTAATTATTCTTGTGCAAATGATTGCAAATACAGAAACTTTAGATGAATTAATGCAATAAAATAATAATAATTAGTTTTTTTTCTAATTTTGTACATGAATAATTTATCCAGATAGTGGAAAATACATTATTCGCAAATATAAGAATTGTTTGCAAGTGAAAATACGTTAATATTTTATATAGTATCGATTGAAATGTTTTTTTTTCAGTATGTGTTTGTTAGGGAATAATTTGATTTTGGAAGGTAGCGTAACATGCATTTCAGATTTCAGAGGCGCGAAGTTCGTTCGCAAGATGTAATAGGTACGTGTGGACTGTGGAGTGGTGCATGGCTGCGTCTTGCGTGCTGTGTTCGGTGACAGAAAATCTTTTACCATAAATTTTCACCGCCTAAATGCTCTAAATTGTTATAAATAATCTATCTACAAATATTTTGCTACAACTTCTTCTTATGAGTTTCTTGCGCTGAAAATTGAATTTAGTTAATCTTGAATCGAAAGAAACAATGGAATTTTCGTGAAACTTGACTGAGCCTTTGCTTTTTTGCTTGATCAACGAACATAATAGTTTAATACTATTGTAGTTTAGTATTATGCTTGTTGATCTATTTCTAATGCTTTTTATGAACAAGCGGCATGTAAATTTGCAGATATGCACTTGATGACTAATTGCTTTATTAATTATTTGCTTATGCAGTAGGCTAGCCTCTAAGATGTTATCTTGGGCCTTGGCGGCTACGGCACTAGTGCAGTAGTGCGGTCGCCCATAATATGCCATATTTAACTGCATAACTTCAGACAGCATAACTCATAAGACATAAGTGCATGCTGCATGCATATCTACTGATCTACAGACTGCAAATTGCCTATACCGTAAGGCGTAAAATGGGGTAACTTAGACCGGCGGGGTAACTTAGACCACTTTTTGTTTTTTTAACAAAAACCCCCATGACTCAAAAACTATTTGACATAGAAAAATTTTGTTGATGGGCATAAAAGGCCTAATACTGAGGCTACATAACAAAATAGAAAGATTTAAAAAGTTTGCATATCTAATAGGTTAAAAAATTAAAAATGTGACCCACAAAAATGAGCTATTATTTAAAGCCTGTCAGAGTACCCCCTCCAATTTTTTTATTTTTTGGTTAAATAACTCCAGGTTTTCATGCATTGTAGTAGAACTCTTCTAGTTACATATGCAAATGACAAATTTTAGGAAAGTGTCATAGTTTGCAAATGGGGTAACATAGACCACCTAATGTCAGCCCTGACGGGGTAACATAGACCGGCTTGGAAGTTAATATAAAATTACCATATATAACATATTTTATGTTTGACAGCCTATTAATGTTTTTTCTTTATGTTTCAGACTCTACAGAGTCTTATATATGGTAATTTAGCTTAATTTCCAAGCTGGTCTATGTTAACCCTGTCAGGGCTGCTATTAGGTGGTCAGAGTTCTCCCGTTTGCGGGAACTTAGACCACCTGGGGGGCGGCGCCCCCCATTTGCTAACTATGACACTTTCCTCAAGTTTGTCATTTGCATATGTAACTAGAAGAGTTCTACTACAATGCACCAAAACCTGGAGTTATTTTACCAAAAAATATAATTGGTTTTACCACCCGGTCTAAGTTACCCCAAGAGCTGGCAGCTGGGGTAACAAAGACCATCACCTTTTTTGAAATTACATAAAGACTATGAGAGGCAGGAGCCAGCAATTTATGGTAAGTGAAGCTAGAGTATAGACCTGTATTTTGCATGTTTCAATTTAAGTTTAATTTAGCTAGTAAAAAAATGGCATCATTTATAAAAAAAAGTGGTCTAAGTTACCCCATTTTACGGTACGTATAATATATGGTAGGCTAAAATTGGAGATTTGGCTTAAAATGCATTTTCATTTTGAATCAAACATACATGGATAGTGTCATAGTGATGGTCCTGGTGGATGATGGGCAAAATTGGGCATGGGCCACATGGATAGCTCCATTCACTGATTCACAGCTAGAATATGGCTTTCCGTTCCATGGCCTGGAAAGAGCCTAGAGGTTTAAGCTCCTACTGACTTTAAAGTTTAAAAAATTGACTTGTAGTTGACAATATTATAGGTGAAATAAGGTGATGGCATCAGCTGCATAGCCTATGGGCTATGCATAGTACAGGACTACAGGTCACACTTAAGAACTCCGTAGTAGACAAAAATTGCCCACAAGGCCATGATTATGGACAATTACTGAATTAGGTACTAGGTAGTATCTACTTCTGTTGCTATGGCCTTTTCCCATTTTTTAAGTAATATATGAAAAAGTACATATTTTTGCCTACAATACAATTTTCCAAAATTCCCCATAAACCTTATTTTTTCATGTTGCATTTTTTTGATAATTAATCATAATTCTACCCAATTTTCATATTGGGTCATTTGGGTGTGATAGCTATACCAATGACATATATTTATATATATATATATAATATATATGTGTCACACAGACCACAGTCACAGTGTCATTGCTTATTGGTATATTACTATCTGTAACTGTAAGACGTAAGTGGTGTTGCAATATGAATTTTAATGTATTAGAAAAATTTTAATGAAAGTAGAAAAATTTCTATCTTGGGTTCTTGGCTAATGGCTATTGTTATGATGGGGCCAGATGGGCCATATCGGCATATCAAGCTTGGAAAACATCTCCCTTTAGTTTAGGGCCGTGACTAGAGCTTTCCCGCCATTTCTGGAACCATGAGTGGTGAGATTTCTGCCAAAAAGCCCAAATGAATTAACTCCTATCTAATTGTTAACAAAAGTGCACAATAGGGCCATGAGTTTCAAAATGTATTGAAAATTTGTCACACTCACACACTGGACCCGGAACTACAAGATTTCAGAAACAAGTTGGAGAGACAATATGGCCCAGGTCCAATCCTGGACCTGGGCCATATTGTCTCCAAGCAAGGGCATTTTTTTCCTATCAAATTTGCAGGGTTACTTATCCCTATTTTTATACTTGGATTGATAGTGTTCAAGTTTCAATTAAATAGTTAGCCTTTTAGGGAATGCTATCCAATCTGCATCTGAAAATTCATGTAAATTTTCCAAAATTTTCACAGTTGATTTTTTAAAATTGCCTCCTCAATTCCTATGATTGCATATAACATCAAATAATTTTTATAATGAAAATTAGTCAAAGGGCCATAGGATTGGATGAAATTGTCCCCATACATGGGTGGCTTCTGCCCATTTTTCCAGTTGGATCACTATTAGGGTTGAGACTATTGATAATATTTTTTGCTAGATGGTCAATTACAGTACTAACAATGGCACTTCAGTTCAGTTGCTACAGTGATATCACAACAACAAGGCCTTGTTGATATGCTGATTGCTGGCATCTTTCAAACCCTTTTGGCACTCGTACAAGTTGATTGAAATGGGAAATGCAATATATTGTTTTGCTTTATTAAAGAGCAGAAACTTGGTAAGTGTATTCTTTGAAAGAGTGGCAAATTCAATCTTACTATTGAAACCCTCTTGGATCCAAAGTGACATGTTTTCAATAACTTTAGAATGTCATCACTTGTTTGTACACTTTTGTTAAAATTTCACAGGAGATTGTGGGAAGACTCCAATAATGTCAATAATAAAACTCCAGTGGCAGAAAGGCTTTGGTCAAAGCTCAAAAATCAGGTTGACTATACCATGCCTGGTCTGGAGTGCAGTGCCAGAGGGCAGTAGGCCTTTGGCAACAGGTTAGAATGCAGGTAGAGTAATATATGCACAAGTGAATATATTAAATTGAATCAATGAATGTGGAACTATTTTTTTATTTCATGTTAGGCTAATATTTTAGAACTTGTCAAGTTACCAGGCTCAATTCATATTGAATATCGGAAGCACCATTTATAGAGTTCCACCCTGCTTTCAATATTGGCAACTTCAGCTCCTCATATTGGTATTGCATTTATCATAGAATGATCTGTGCTGAAGGGAAATTAGATATAATCTTAACATTGTATGTTGAATGGGGTCTTTGTCATATGATAAATCTATCATATTGTTTGCGGTATAGAAAAATGGAAAGGAAAAGAAATTCTCTAATATTGAATATTCTATAAGAGCTCTGGCCATCCAGCTTGCAGTGCACAATTTTACAGCCCAGCTCCAAAACACTCATACCCAGTAGGTAGGTGTCAAGTTGCCTTTGTGAAAATTATCTACTTTCTGACTGGCATGGAATACATCTACTTTTTGAGCTGTAACTAGGGCTAGAGCTTTCCAGCCATTGTTGGAGCTGGATAATTCCCCCTAGATGAATTATCTTCTATCTAATTGGTAACAAAAATGCACAATCAAGTTGCAAGATTACAAATTTATTGTAAAAATATCTATTTTTGGCCATAAAATTCCAGTTGGCTGCTAAGCTGCTGTGCTTAGTGCAATGTAATAACTGCTTTGCTAAGTACTGTGGCACTTGATTGAAGGCTTGATAAATATGGATTTAGTTTTTCATTAACATATAAGTTTAGCTTGTATTTTTAGTGCATTTTCTCATTTATGGAAAAAATGCCCTTGGCATTTCTTCATGTCCGTCTGTCTGTCCATGACTTCACATTTTCATTCACGAGAAAATGCGTGCTCTGCCGCTCACTGCAGTGAGTACTACTGAGTTATATTTTTTATTAACTTTCACATTACATTCCAGATCCGATAACATCAGTGTTCTCTTCAGTATTGCTGTCACTTAGAGTTACCATCATGGCTGAGCGCCCTGAAGACCTGAACTTGCCGAACTCAATTGTGATGCGCCTCATTAAAGACTCCCTGCCACCTGGCGTGTTGGTGTCCAAGGTGGGTGCTGTGGGGGAGTGTGGTGCTGTGGGGGAGTGTGGTACTGTGGGGGAGTGTGGTGNGGGGAGTGTGGTGCTGAGGGGGAGTGTGGTGCTGAGGGGGAGTGTAGTGGTGAGGAGGAGTGTGGTGCTGAAGGGGAGTGTGGTGCTAAGGGGGAGTGAGGTGCTGAGGGGGAGTGTGTGAGCTGTAATGACTTCTCCAAAAATTAACTCACATCTTTAACCCCCTTGTTATCACCCATTAACCCCATCAACGATGATCATCAGTCACCCGTCTGTCTATACCCGTCTTCCTTATCAGTTTTATTATTCTTTTAGCCTCGTTTTGAGATTTCAATTGTCATTTTTCTCGTGAATGAGAATGGTAGCATTCATGATAATAACATGCTCTTATTTGTCATTATTATCCCATCACATCCCACATTCTCTCATATGGTTTACCCATCAATCCCTACCCTTCCATGCTCCCCATACCCCCATTCCCTCTAAACCCCCATTCCCTCTCTAAACCCCCATTCCCTCTCTAAACCCTCATTTCCTCTCAAAACCCTCTCTATGTGACGCAGGAGGCCCGCAGCGCCATCGCGAGAGCTGCCTCGGTGTTTGTGCTGTATGCGACGTCGACGGCCAACGCCCTGGCGCAGGCCAACAAGAAGAAGACCCTCACGGGGCAGGACGTCCTCGACGCCATCAAGGAGATGGACTTCGAGCAGTTCGTCGAGCCTCTCACCGAGTGCCTTGAAGGTGTGGGAGGGGAGGGGAGTGGGGGTTAGGGCGAGACTTTGAGCAGTCCAATGAGTGAGTAGCTCAAAAGAGTGCTTTGAAGGAAGGGGGTAGGGGAGTGGGATTAGGACGGAACTTCAAGCAGTTCGTCTTCGTCTAGCCCCTTACTAAGATCCTTGAAGGTGGGTGGGAGAGAAGGGGATTGGGGGTTTTGGGGCGATTCTTCAGAGCGGGGCTCTGGGCGCGAGTTCAAGCCGTTTTATAAGTGCTTTTTCGAGGACTTGGAGGTGTGAGGGACAAGGTTGCAAGACGCGAGCCTCCCAATGACTGCCGTGAAGGTTGTGTTCCTACCAAGTTTTGCAGGACGTGTTAATTAATGACTGCCTCATTAACTAGAACATCTTAACGAAATCGATCAAATTTAGAAACCATTTCATAAAATCAACTTTGTAATCTAACTACCCAATTTACCCTCAATAACTCATTTACATTCTGCACCTCATTTACCCTCAGCTTCCTGTTTACCGAAATAATTCCACGTTACCCGGGTTTTGTGCAGCGTTCAAGAGGAGCCAGCAAAGCAAGAAGGAGCTGAAGGAGGCGAAGGCGAAGGCCAAGAAGCAGGAGCGCAGCCCCGCCAAGAAGGGGGCGCCGGCGGAGGAGCAGGCAGCTGAGGAGGAGCTGGGGGAGGACGTTGTTGATGTTCAGGAGTGATGTTGATGCTCAACAGTGGTGTTGCTGCTCAGCCGTGATTCAACTGCTCGGTAGTGATGTCGTTGCTCAGTAGTGTTGTCACTGCTCCGGAGTGTCGTCACTGCTCTGGAGTGTTGTCACTGCATTGGAGTGTTGCCACTGCTCTGGAGTGTTGTCACTGCTCAGTAGTGTTGTTACTGCTCAGTAGGGATATCGCTTCTCTTTAGTGAAGTTGATGCTCAGTAATGCTCATTATGATGCACTACTCATCATTTACGTCACTGCTCATTAGTGATGTTGCTGCTGCGCAAGTCCCAAAACCATGCATCAGAGAGAAAACTTCTCTCCGTGCAAGCACATGTACCTGACACAATACATTAAGATAGTACTTTTTCACTCTCTTTATTAACCTACTCCTCATTTGTTCTTTTACAAGAAACAAGTACTTATCGAGCCTTCTACGTCATTCACCCACGTCATTTGTGTCGTCGGGTGACTTGTAATTGGTGTCTTTCCCCAGGCCGTAATCAAAATGGTGCTTGTTACAAATCACCCAATGAGATTTTAATTCTAATACATTAAACTACTTTTGTACTTGGTCATCATATCACTTATTGTTCTCAATAGTCAAATCAATATATTTGTGAATTCAATTGGGTTACAGGTTGTGAATCAAAACAAATTTCTGGCTGAATACTTTGTAAGAGACAAGGGGTTTTACTCTAGATTAAGTGCATCCAACAAAAGGATGTTTTTTAATTGTTTTTTTGGGGGGTGTAAGATTAAGAATCTGAAATCCGTTTTTGGCGGTACCGATTTTTTCCGATTTTTTATATATTTTCTATAGAAAATGACAATGGGGAACCGGGGGTTTTAGGGGGGGGGGGACACGCCCGAGGCTGTGTGGCAGAGGCCTTGTCTTCTGCTGCACGTGGAAGCGAGTGGCCTCAAGGTTAGGTCCAGTCCGGTATGGTTCGTTTACTGTGTGCTTTGAAAGTAGCTGAACTAGACCTGACTTGGACCTAACCTGCGAGATGTTCTCTGATATGCGCTGTGGTCGAACAAAAAAAAATTGATTTTCCGATGCCGACCGCCAAAAACTGATTTCATATTCTTTATCTACACCCCAAAAAATATATAATTAAAAAAAAAAAACACTTTTTTTGGATGCACTCTAAAGTAATACCAGACAAGGATGTGCTGCATTGAAGGCCTTGCCGTTAATATAGGTACTCAAAGGTTAATTAATTTTCTCAAAACATGGTGGTACATCGCTTCTCTTTTCTCCTTCATTATTTTCATGCCCTAACTATTCCGTTAGATGACCCTGGATCAGCAGCAACTAGTTAAATGTTACTAATTGTGAATTTTCGAGTTGCAAAGCTAAGTGAAAACCTCGTATTGTTTACTCTGCTGTCCATTTGACGTTGGGTGTGTTCGAGCTGCGCTCGACGAGGAGACCTTAGGTTTGGCCTAAGGTCTATCACCCAGACATGCCACTGACGTCATTCCAGTTCATTGACCAAGCCATTCAAAAAATATACGAAAAAACATTTCTTACCAGTTGAACTTTTTGGTATAACATTGGATACAACCAACCATATTTGGTTGCTAAATCGCGATTTTTTTTATCATTTCACACAATCGAAACTTTTACACTCTGTTTCTCTCATCCGTTTTCTGATAATGTTTTAGCATTCACAGCCACACTCCGTCCAATAGACCCACGACTTGTTCAGTCGTGCCTTGCGTCATCTTCAAATGTTCAAAAATAACGCCTTGTTCAGATTCCATCATCATGCGATTAGTTTTTGAATTTAATTCGCTTAAAGAGCATCAACTCTTACCCTGAAGACCGTTTTATGATCTCTACAAATAATTAATGTAATCCAACCGAAAATCCGCACTAACACAACAGACGCAAAAGGTAGGTATGCTCCGTGTGTTTGGTCAGTTTGTGGGATCCAGGGGCAGGCCCCAGGCCGCAGGCCCCAAGCCCCGGGCCAAGAGTGAACTACCTGCCAAAATTATTATTTTGGCTAGATAAAAAGATATTTAATGCATGAACTTCTTCTTAATTTGTATCCTGCTACATGGCTGTGCCAAAATAATGTTTCAGAGTGAAAAATATCAACAGTAATAATTAAATTTGTTACCAGAACTGGCAGAATAGAAGAGATCAAGAGAAGTGCCTGCCGCCTGGAAGTCACTTGGGTCAGAATCAAGGTTGAAAATTTCTAATTCTGGATAGGTTATATAATATATATTCTCACATAATCACATTTTTATTACAAAATGGGTCCTAGGATAGCCTAGAAGGATTGCCATGTTATTGTTAATCCTTTTTCTGCCATGCCAATTGCCATTTGGCATTTGCCAAGTAGCAGTAGGTAATAGCCTATACACATAGTGGCAAACCAGAGCTTCTTTAGAATCAGTTCATTTTTAATTTCCTTATTTACTCAAGATTTAAACCAATTTCTTAATATGATAATGCTGGTATCCAGGATACTTTACTGGTCTACTTATAGGACTCAAAAATGAACTTGAAGGAGAGTCTAAAAAACTCTCTGCTTTGCCACTATGCCTATACACGTTAGTCGTACACTAAGACTCCGATTAGTCTCCGAGTCACTGAGCTCCTTAGCTAGGTAGACTTAGCTTAACCATGGTCAGGAGACAGGAAGATGTGCCAGGTGCACGGGAATTTATATTGTAATTTTAACGACCTGCGCGGTGCGCTGTACTATCCCGGTAAAAAAATGCGCCGTGCGCCGACAGCGCCGTACTTTTAGAAAGCTAAAATAGTTTAAATATGGATGCGATCATGCGCGGCAATGCAAATTACGTAATCACACTGACCGTACACACAAACGTGTAGCCATAGTGCATAGTGGCAAAGCAGAGAGTTTTTTAGACTCTTCCTCAAGTTCATTTTTGAATCCTATAAGTAGACCTGTAAAGTATCCTGGATCATAGTGGCAAAGCAGAGAGTTTTTCAGACTCTCCCTCAAGTTCATTTTTGAGTCCTATAAGTAGACCAGTAAAGTATCCTGGATACCAGCATTATCATACTTAAGAAATTGGTTTAAATCTTGAGTAAATGAGGAAATTAAAAATGAACTGATTCTAAAAAAGCTCTTGTTTGCCACTATGTCCTGGATACCAGCATTATTATACTTAAGAAATTGATTTATATCTTGAGTAAATGAGGAAATTAAAAATGAACTGATTCTAAAAAAGCTCTGGTTTGTCACTATGCGTGTAGCTATCCGCCCATACCCAGGATGGTGCAGCGCGTACGCCGGAGGCTTCAATGCAGCGTGGCTGAGTGTACGCCAATAAAACAATGAGTGTACGCCAATAAAACAATAAAAAAATCAAGGTATTCCAGGTAAGTATGTATGCATACGCCAGGATGAATATGCTATGAAACTCCGGATTTGCTAAATTATACTATTTTAGTATGACCGGCATCTGGCAATGTCTACCAAATCTATCCATGCGGTGGTCCGGTGGAATGATTCTAACAAATATCTATTAATTATTTCTCGATTATATTTATTTACGTTGTTTCTTTTTCCCGAGTAGCCCCAACCTGAGATTGTCCCGAGTAGCCCCAACCGACGGGGCTACTCAGGACAATCTCTATTTTGCGTCTGGCACCTTACGAATAGCATATGGAATTTTTTGACAACGCCATTCGATAGCCCTGCCAATCAGCTATAAAATGAGACTAAACTTGTTTATGGAATGTTTCATCGTAAGAAGTTATTAACTGTTATTTGAAACTAATCGTTCAAATCTGTCCCGAGTAGCCCCGGTTGACGGTATACTCCTTTGCAGATTTTAACTGGACATTCATCCCCCATCATCTTCCAACGATGTGTAGGTCCTAAAAATCTTTCTGAGTTCGACTTCCTTTACGAGTGCAGAGCTGTAAAATAAAAGTTTTCGTTAAAAATAATAGCCTACTGACATGCACACTACAAACGGGTAAGAGATAATTAATCACCGCATGTACACTTTTGGGATAATTTTTTGGGACTGTTTCTGTTAATTCAAAAACGATTTTGATCTAATTAATGACAAAGTTATTTATTACCAATACCCTCCTGCGAGCGTTGTCCGAATTCACTCTCTGCTTCATTTTGTGTACTACCACGCTAGTCTGGAAAAGTCCTATTTTTGTCTGAAATATCGCGGCTCTAATATCATATAATTTCAGTAGGTATGAAATCTCGCGGCTCGAATGTCATAAATTTTTGTTTGATTAAAAAATCGTGGTTTGCACTTCGCAAACATGTCATTTCATAAAATTTTCAACTTCTGCAATCCGCATTGCTTTACCGTTTCCGCCAAAAATATCTTGCAGAAAAAACATAAACATCGTAATGTAAACAAATAAACAAAACGTTTGTTGAAGATCACGCATAGTTGTGGTCATGTCAAAGCGGTCAGACTGTATATTAACACGTGCTGAACTTACAGTAGAGACAAATTTTA